CACCGCAAACATATTAGTTTTAGGTATAAATAATGATCCATTTATTCTTTGCTGACCAAACTTTCCCTTTAATCCAATTTTGTTTACCTTTAAGCCCATAAAATTGAAATAATTGGAAATCAAATATACCAACAAACATCTAAAACATTTAAATTCCCCAAAGGAGCGAAATTCTCTTCTAAATGATCTCTGGTTGGATTTCCTTATGGACTAAAATGTGACGTAGAAACAATAACAGGTAATAAAGCACAAACACATCGTAATAACTTCAGAGTAAGGCTCAACCGTTCCATCTAAAATCCTCATTGCATTATTTTTATTTAGAGTTGTCCTTTGAAAACAGAGTCCATCGTTACAGGATTTTACTGTAACCTCTGTGTGAGAACGTTGGATCTGCCTGCTAGCAAACCATCTTTCAGCATATCAGAACGGCTGTTAAAGGTCATGCGACCAGAGAATAAATGTCTGTTCACACTTTGACCTCAACTTCAGGAAACACTGAGAATTTGGACTGGATAAGTGGACATTAAAGTATCCAGTAATTGGCGTTGGTTTGAAAGGACGGCCTCCAGAAGGCAGAGCATCCTATTAGCATCAGACCGGATTTATCCGCACTAAATAAGAAAAAACTAATATAGCTCCCAAACTTTCCTTTAATGTGTTTATTGAGGAAGCTGATGTGGTCGTAATGACTCGATGCACAGGCCTCTGCAGCAACAACAGCTGGAACTGCCTGGAGAAGGTTTGGTGAGTTCAGGGAAACCTTCGACCTGTTAGGAGAAGATTCCAGAGGAGAGCCTGGATCCCTGCCTTTAACCCTAAAGGTGTCTAACCCACCAGAAATCCTGTCTGCAGCATCACTCATGGGGTAAGAAAGAGAATGTCACAATTCGGAAAAACAAAATGGACCAGAAAGTGACATGAACTCATTGGGATTCTTTCCTGACACGGTCTTCCGGCTCAGATGTTAAACTTCCAGATTCTCCACAACTGAAAGGCTGGAAGCGGAACGCACGGCAGCCATGAGACGGGAAGAAAGGATGGAAATATATGACATTCCCATTAGAAGATGAAGAATGTCTTCTTCCAGGACTCACAGGCAGAACAGATGTAATCAGTAGATTATCTTTTAATGGGGGAATAAAAGAATTAAAGCCGTCGTTAACATTTAATGTGATTTTTTTGTGCTCACTAATCTAAAGCAAACTGTGGAAATCCTGTTTTTGTCTGGGGGAACATTAGCCTAATCCCAGCACTGTCTAGGCCATTGTTTACCACCATTAGCCTCTTGCTGAGGTGAGCTAGTAATGACTCCCGCTGCCAGCCCCCCCAGGCCCCCAAGTGGCCCCTCCTTTTTGCCCTAGGGCCAGATGGAGGGCCCCTCTGAGGCATGAAGTGTTTAAAGTGCTAAGCTTCAGAATATTCAATGGCACAGGTCCATTCAGACGAGTGCTGCTCAAGGTCTCGGGGCTGTTGCTTTCACACCGCGCTCACAATGAGTTCACAGAGCGGCGGCGGCGCTGAATGGCCGCACACAGACGCTAGGAGGTCTGAACAGCCACTGAGCACCAATCTCCTGCACCTGTTTAGTGTCAGCGATGGGGCTGGAATACCCCCACTGCTCTATGGCCACACAGCAGAAATCACTCAACTTAGGGAAGTTTTGCTCAGGAGACAAAGATTGTTTTTCTTTTGGAAACGTGAAATAAGAAAACAATGAAGTGAATCTGGGGACATGGTTCATAATAATAATAATGGGAGATAAATCCCTGTAGGCCAGGCTAACAGTCATTGGTTAGCAGAGATCAGGTGGAGTTATGAAGAGTTTCTCAGTGGATTCTCTGTCTGACAATCCTGAAAGCTTCCAGTAATCTGGACTCCTCCTGTTGGAAAACCTTCACCTCTCTTCCAGATGGTTCTGAACATGGCTGTAGGAGTTCCACATCAGTGGGTCAACGTGTTTAGGAGCCCTTCTGTTCCAGTAGATGATGAGGATCTTCAGACCTTTTCAGAGTATCAAAACTATTCTGAGATTAGTACTTTTCAAGGTATCAGTACTTTTCAGAGAATCAATATTTTTCATTCATCCATCCATCCATCCATTATCTGACATGGTTGTCCCAAGTGGGGTCGCGAAGGGTGCTGGTGTCTATCTCCAGCAGTCAATGGGCGAGAGGCGGGGTCCACCCTGCACAGCTCGCCAGTCAATATTTTTCAGAGTACCAGTACTTTTCAAAGTATCAGTACTTTTTTGAAAATCAGTACTTTTCAGGTAATCAGTACTTTTCAAGGTATCAGTACTTTTCAGAGAATCAATATTTTTCAGAGAATCAATATTTTTCAGAGAATCAATATTTTACAGAGTACCAGTACTTCGCAGAGTACCAGTACTTTTCAAAGTATCAATAATTTTTTCAGAATCAGTACTTTTCAGGGTATCAGTACTTTTCAGAGTACCAGTACTTTTGCTAACCCTACTCTGAGCACAGTGGCCGCCCACCATGCTGTCCCGTACTGAACCCAGACCGTCAGCGACGCCGTTCGACCATAGTTTGATTATTCAGCCACTAACATCAGCCTCCATCAGCGTTTCAGGGATCTCTGGTTCATAGTTATGGAACACAAGCCAGAAACGTACAGCTTAAAGCCTCATTTTCACATTTAGAGAAAAACTAGGGCTCTCTTTGCTTGGTGTTTGTCAGCTGATGCTCCTACCTGAAGTGAGTGATCTGGTTCTCCAACAAAAGAATGAGGCGGCTTCTGACGGCCTCAAACTGCTCCTTCTCCTCCACGGTGACTGTCCCCGTCCCGTCAGGCCTGAGGTCACAAAACAATCAGTCAGCAGAATCTAACCTCCCCTGGTGGCAGGAGACCGTCACAGCAGTGATGTCACACTTTAATGTAGGGGCTGGGCAATTGATCACAAGTGAGTTAAAATCACAATTTAATAAAATACACTTTTCAAAATGAAAAGAGGAAATCAATTATTCAGCTCTATAGGCGGCATTAAAACGCTTAAAGAGGGTTTTTAGCCACAGAAAGAGCTGCAGTCACCATGCAGATCCATGCATGCAAGAAGTAAGAACTTTTTCACATAAACTAAAATAAAGCAACAGCGGGTTCCTTTCAAGCTAGCCTTCATAAACTGGAAGCCTGCGATGAAACATCTAAAAGCTTTGGGCTAGTGCAAGAAAATAAAAATAAAATAAAAAATACAAACGCGAAATGAAATCACAGTAGTGGTGGAAAAATAAACACAATTAAATTTTTTTGTCAAAATCGTTAAGCCCTACTTTAAAGAAACCTTTAAAAAGCTGCTGTAAAGGAGCACAGGTCTGCCCCCTGTGGCAACAAGCTGAAATGACACCAGCGTCCTTCTGCACATGTCTTTGTTCTGGAGACACCTGGAGGTGATGTCATCATCCGGGTAACAAAGTTTAAATCCCGAGGTCATTTTGAATAAAGCCTCTAACTTGTAAATAAAAACAGGAATATTGCCTCCTGGTTGGAAACTTCTCCAGTGTTTACCCCCGTCTTATTCGTCACCAGTCAGACTTAAAATCGTTCACTTAGTTCACTCTAAACTACAGGTGACCCCCAGGGTCCAGGAAGCAGAA